TTTTCTTCCAGATTAGAAATTAATTTTCCATAGCACCATTTTCATGGCTGCAGATTCAGTAAATTTATCTTTTTGCCATTCTTGTTATTCCAGTGATTGTGGTGATGATAGAGTTGGAAAAGAGGAGGGGGAGAAATGTGTGTGTTTCTGAAAGGAGCTAACGGGAGAGCTAGCATGAACCTCTAGTCTCTCCTCAGCTTCGGCAGAGCAGGAAGCAGGAAACCAACTTTCTTTTTGATAGGACCAATTCCCATCCACCTCTGCAGCCTAGGAGCTGCTCAGATGAAAAGAACGATCCTGAAATTCTCCCAGTTTTATGATTTAATGTGATTCTGGGGCTTACATTTCAGAGTCCAGGATGATTTATTTACAGAAGAGCCTGCTGATTTGGGGATTGCCTCTTCTTCTTGTTGGAGTTGTAGGCTTGATCTGGAGGAAGAGCGGCAGAAAAGGTGAGTTAGGAGAACAGAAACAGCGTGGAGCAGGCTTTGTGGTGGGAGCATTTTCAGCAGACACTGAAGCACAGAGGCATCCAGTGGATATTCAGTAATTAAGGAAACATGAGCGTCCATGGCTTACATGCATGTAATTGAGGATCAGTGTTGAATGAGATCAATTTACAGTAATAATAGAAGCAAAAGGAGTGAAAGATAATAATTTAATCTCCCAGTGCACATTTCCAGGTGATCTAGTGGAGGGAGAGGAAGATAAAAAAGTGTCATTGATATCCTTGCTCTGAAGCTAAGACATAACTGGATTCTGTCAGCATGAACTGAGATCATTGAAATATGGTGATTGACTTATTGGTTTTCCTTGCTCTGAAGGAAGGGTTTCTCATATACTGGTGATTTTGTGAGCCCTAGAAAGTTCTTCCACTTTAAATTTCTTAAGTCATCTTGCCTTTTCCCCCTGTTTGGATGTTAATATTATGAAATTAATATTTTAAAATATTCTTATGTTGGTTATTATCAGACCGGATTTTCTTTCTTTGCAGTGAAGCACACACTGGGTTCAAAAACAGCTCACGCAGAACGAATCCTTTCTGAGGGAAACAAGCTTGTAGCCCACAGACAGTCACGCAGCCAGATGTCCCGCAAAAATTTGACGACCTCCTTTGCAAGCTAGGACGGGAGGGGCTCGTCTTAGGAGGGTGGTACTGAGAGGTGGAAGTTAGGGATAGGACAGAATAGGCCTTGACTGTTGCCAAGGACAGCGTCCGGAAGAAGTCATCTTTATATTAACTGAGAATGAGTTGGGGCAATGGGTTGCTATGGATATGAGGACTGGGCCATTTCCTCTCCTCTAAGCCTCCACTGCCTGAAGATGTCTCTAGGGCAAGTTAGAATCTCCCGTGACTACACCTCTGGAGGCCTCTCCTTTTATAACTTGAGCAAGTGCCCTATTTATGGTGCATGAGTGCTCAGTTGTAAATTTTAATACTGTGCCACCTGGGAAGCCTTATCTATACTTTCCCCCAGTTTTCTTATCTGAAATTCTGCACTCCCTGCTTTCTTTGGTCTCCTAGTGTGGATCCTTCTGACATCTTTCCTGCACCCAAAGGAGTCTCAGCAACACCTCCAATTACCCTGGATTCTGGAAACCAGGGTTATATTCTAAGTCCCAGTTCTTTTCTCTTTTCACCAACTACTAGAAGGGGACTCACACACTCACTCACTTACCTAATCAGGAGGATTCAACCTTACTCTGGTGTCATGTCTGACCTGGAGACTTATCCTTTCTGTGAGCTGTCATAGCCCAAGCTCTCTAATATCCTGCCTGCTGATCACAATCTGATATCTGATAACAAAAGACCTTTAGAAAATCCAATGGAAAATGCAACTTAGCCTAGAGGAGGAAGTGCAAGGAACAATCAAATATTTGATTTGCGTCCCTAGAAAGGTAACAATTATCCCAATGGGACTGAGAAAACAAAAAGATACAGTTAAAATAAGGAAGAGAAAATACAGATAAATGTAAGGAGAAAAATCTGATCACTAAGATATAACCTTAAAAATCCCATAATGTGTGTAATTTCTGCATCACACTTTTTCAGGAAGTTAATTTAGAGTGTGGAATGAGGAAATTTTTCAGAAATACTAGACCAAGAGGAAAATGTGTTACATGTCATGTATATGAAAATGTCAATTTTAGTTTTACAGTGCAAAAGCACACAATTTAAAATGAATACTTATAAAAGAAACAAGCAATATGTACAACACAAGCAATAAAATTTAATGGAAATAAAAAATATTTTAAATCACAGTGAATTAAAGAAGAGAAGCCACACATAGGAGAAGTAGAATGTGAAAAAGTAAAGATTTGGAAAAAGTCTTAAAATCTTCTGAAGTGAGAATGAAGGACACCTATAAACGACAGACTGCTGCTTTCTAAGAAGGCAGATGGCACGGTTTTCACTGTCCTTTGAAGACTATTCATCTGTGGCATTCTGGAATTTTCTCTTTTGGATCATGTTATTTTTTCTTCTGTATTTAAACTCATATATGTTTGAAGTTATGTACTGAAATATTATAGTATGTAATATTCTTTCACAAATATTTTCACATTTATTTAGTTTTTAAATTTTTCCAACTGTCATAAAATACACATAAAATTCATCATTTTAATCATTTTAGAGTGTCTAATTCTTGTTGTTGTTTAAACTAAAAGAGAACCAAAAACCATAAACAGTTTCAGGGCTTTATTCAGACTCTGATATTACAGTCTCTTGAAGAGAGAAATAGCAATGGCAGAATGCAAAATGGGAAAGATGCTATTACTAAGATGGGAAAGATGCTATTACTAACATAAGAGAGATATGTAATTGCTGAAATGATGTCTCAAATCTGAATTCAATTAAAATTAGAAAGAATGTAATCAAATTGTATTTAATTTTCCTATCCATTAAAGTTCTGTTTAAGGAAAAGAATAAAGTGTCCAAGACATCGGTATTTTTTCCATTCACAATATGTGCAACCATCATTAGTATTCAGTTCCAGAATATTTTGATCCAAAAGGAAACTCCATCACCATTAAGCAGTCATACCCATTTCCACCTCCCTCCAGCCTCTGTCTACCTTGTTTCTATAAATTTGCCTATACTGGGTATTTCACATAAACAGAATCATAAAATACTGTGCATAGACTTTTTGTGTGTCTGTATTTTTTTTTTATTTAGTGTAATGTTTTCAAAGTTAATCCATGTTGTCAAATATTCCAGTACTTCATTCCTCCTTTTTTTTTCACTAAAAGATTTTATTTTTTAAGAGTTATTTTCCCCAGGTTTACAGCAAAATTGAGTGGAAAATCCAGAGTATTCCCATATCCCTCCCCTCTCACCCTTTAGTATCCTCTATTATTAACAATTTGCATTGGTGTGGTGCATATATTACAATGCATGAACCAAAATTGATACAATACTTTCAATTAAAGTCTAGGATTTGTTTATGCATGATATATACATACATACATACATGAACACACACACACACACACACACACACACACACACACAGGCTTTCCCGGTAGCTCAGAGGTAAATGAATCTGCTTGCAAAGTAGGAGCCGCAGAGGATGAGGGTTCAATCTCTGGGAGGGGAAGATCCCCTGGAGGAAGGCATGGCAACCCACTCCAGTATTCTTGCTGGAGAATCCCATGGACACAGGAGCCTGGCGGGCTATAGTCCATAGGGTCACAGAGTCAGACACGACTGAAGTGACTTAGCGTGCACGCACACACACACACACACACGTATGTGTATGTGTGTATATGTATATATATGTATATATATATATATATGACAACAGTAAAATATCCCAACTGAACCCATTGTCCTTCCTGTTCCATGCCACACTTTCAGTATTATTGTACTCATTCTGCGGCTACTCCCACATATCTTCATCCACCACGTCCATTTGATTATGCCTATTAATATATTCCCCACCTTTCCTTTGCCTCTGTCTTGCTTGTTATTTAAGCCCTTCTTTTTTTGTAAGTAAAGTTAATATTCTGGGCTCTGGATTTATTCTTCTTAGATTCAAATACTGACTGCCACTTAGCGGCTGTGTGTTAGGGAAGTTTTGCTATGGAGGTATGCCTTCCAAGAGGGACTGTTCGAGGGACTTGCCACTTAAAGATCTGCTCTAAGGGCAGAAAAATTTAAGGGGTCTAAGTTGATCTCTTCTACTGTCAGAAAGAGAAGGTTCATTTGATAGGAGAAGCTCGTATTTTATATTCTTAGAGGAGTAAACTTTGTAGTAAATGGCTGGAGAAGGCTTAGACTTATTAAAGGCAAAGGGAAAATCCTCACAGGTAGGAAGAACTGGGTCAGAAAGAAAAAAAAAAAGCCAGTATTAACAATAACTTTTTCTTCATGAAGGCTGAGGCTGTTTCTTCATTCCTTTGACAATTTTTTTTCTCTGAAAATACAAATTGCAATATTGGTTTCTTTTTCATTCACATACAATTCTGAACTTGCTGATCAGTAAGAACTTGTTTAAAAGAGGGGAGAGGGGCTCCTCCTTCCCAGAAGGCTTGGTCTCCTGTTGAAATAGTTTTGTAGCTATTTATCAGTCTTCTCCACACCTTGGCAAAGTCCAGCTTTAGAAGCTGATGGACACTAAAGCCTGAAAAAAGGACAAGCTGAGGCATTAACCTATAAAAGACTTGAGATTTCTTTGTACATCTCCAACAGTAGTATTCACCTGGTACCCTTCCCTTTAAACATCACTCCCAACTCCATGGCTTCCCAGGTGGCTCACTGGTGAAGAATCTGCCAGCCAATGCAGAAGATGCAGGGGACGTTCAGTTTGATCCCTGGGTCAGAAAGATCCCCTGGAGAAGGGAATGGCAACTCCAGGATTCTTGCCTGGGAAATTCCAGAGGAGTCTGGTGGCCTGCAGTCTCTGTGGTCGCAAAAGAGCTGGACGCGACTTAACAACTAAAGAGCAACAACAACCCTCCTCATATTTGATAACAAAAATAGTGACAACAGAGACTTCCACTTTAAATGAAGCTTTAAACATCTTTACTTCAAAATACAATAAATACCAGGACTGAAGAAAGGCCCATGTGTTTACTTGGAGTTTCCTTGTGACAAATCATTGTTGTCCATATCGAGTACTTCTCCAAAGATGACGCTAGAGGAAATTCCCCCAGACATTTTTAGCTGCCCATTTCTCTTTCTCCCTCTATCTCTCTTTGAAAGAGGCTGAATTTAAACCTAATGAGAATGACCTGCTCTTCAAGAAGGACAGCATTCCTCAACAACATACCTGTAAGAAGCCTGAGCAGAGGCAGCGAGGTGCTGACACTCACTTCTTATAATAGAGAGTTAGATTCTTGGGGGACGCTTGTTTCACAGCTATTTAAATGAGTTAGAGAGGTCTTTGGAGAAGAATCAGGAGAATTCTCAGGATGATCTGAAGTTGAGCAGATGGTCAAAGATGTACCAGTACCCCAAAGACTAAAATAAGGAAAAAAGTTCCCACAGAAGGCGATGTCAGTAAAAGTATAAATGTGGGACCCATCGGCCATGTTATAAAAGGACAAGTTCCCAGCTTCCCAGTCCAGGAAAACTCCTATCCTGTGGAGCTGCTGCCTCAGTGACAGAGAGATTTCCTGGGAGGTGGGAACAATGACTTTTCCTTCCTTGTATATCAAAACCCAGAAATGCTTCTCTGGCCTTTCTACAAACCAGCCCTCTCTCTTCGCTGTCTCTGAGCAAATGCCCAGAGCCCATCGAGTTGCAGATCCATCTTCTTTCCTCATTTTTACTTCTACCTCCCAGTATTGCCTCTCCATGGTGAGGGACTTCTCGCCCAGAACACTGAAGATGGCTTCAGACTCCCCTTGCTCTTCGTGTGTTGGGGCATCACCATTCTGGGGAACATTATTTTTTAAAGAAATGCGTTGTTTGTTCTCAGATAAGAAGAGGTTGGGATGAGCTGTTTCCGGATTCAGAGTGAAAGCCACTGCAGGTATGGAGGGGAAAATAAAGGTCATTCCACAGTGGAGACTGGTTGGCTTTAGGAAAGATGCAAATTATAGGGAAAGGAGAATGGAGGAAAAAAAGAGAAAAATGGAAGATTAGGTAAAACAATGTATGTTATATCCTATGTTCATTCACAGGAGACATGTGGTGTGTAGGTCATAGAAGGCCAGGGATGGATAGGACCCTAAGTAACCATGTGTTCCAGACAGACTGAGAACACTTAACCAAGAACTCTGTCTCTCAAAATCCCCATGGTCATATATTTCAAGTTGAGGCTTCTCTAACCTGCAAATGCCGATTGCTTTACTGCTTGCTCTTAATAATTAAACCGTTTCTTATTTCCAATCACAATGTGCTCACTTTCATTTATGTTTCTTTGGGGTTAGTTCTCTGTGTGATTAGGTAATAGCTAAGCCATCTATAGTTCTTATCTTACACTCTTTTTATACTTTTAATGGTTTAAATCCCAGGCTCTGTAGTCAGAAAGATATGAATTTGATAATTGCTCTGCTTTTAGTAGTGGCAGTCTTGAAGTTACTTTGCTTCTCTTGGCCCCACTTTAATCTCATGAAGGTATACATAATTATGATGCCTCAGCATAGAACTACTGTGAGAAGACAATGAGATAATATGCAGAGAACTTAGTACTATATTTTGTCCATGATGAACACTTGGTAAATTTTAGCTTCTGATGGTTATAGTAACACTAATACCTGTAGTAATAGTAGCAATAGTGTTAACACTAGTAGTAATGAATCTGCTTCTGGTCAAACCAACATCTTCAATAACTAAAATTTTTCTCATAAGAATGTGTATGTGAATGATTACAATATATTTTAATTTTTGGAGGATTAAATTAACTAGGCCATGTTTGTGGATACAGGGATATTCAGAGTGAATAGCAAGGAGTGGAAATAGAGAGTTGTGACTTGGGGAAGACTGTAAGATGGTCAGGGCCCATTTTCTACTTGTACTGAGATGCAACAAGCCCTTCTCTATCTCAGACTGAGTACACAGCCGACATCCTTCTGACTGAACTACTCTCTTTCGAATGAATAGATCTACAGTAGCAGTTAAGTCTCAGACTAAATATAAATTCCTCAAGGGAATTCCTTTAATCCACCATTTTTTTCTTCATGGCAATCTCTTATTCCTTCATAAGGCATCACAGTTTGTACATGCACTTTCCCATAAAGTCAGAGACCAAATCCACTTTATTTACTTGGCACTAAGTAAATAGTTGCATAATTTAATGCTGAATGAATGAATGATGTCAGAATGGTAAGAAATCTGGTAACATTTCTGCGTTAGATTGAAGTGAAAGCCATGAAGTGAATAACCAGTTAAGTATTGTTGGGAGTTTATACAAAGTTTCTCAACTGTATAGAAGAGATTAAAAGAGACAAATAATAGTAAGGTAACTCACCTGCTTTGAACTGTTCCTTCCTCCAGTCTAAAAAGGAAAAAAAAATCAGATGGAAGAATATGCTAAGTACGTGTCCTCTGAACTAGTGAGAAGTTTCTCCTTTTATCCCCTTGTGTTTTTTTGGACTCCTAGATTCAAAGTAAAATCTCCCGAGGATAGCTCCTATCTGAAAAATGCTCTGAAAATGCCTCACGAAATCCCGAAGTACCTGAAGCCCCAAGACAATATCAGTTACTCACCAGCATATAACTCAGCTTTTCTCCAGTCTGAAATAAAACAAAGACATTAGCTTCTCCCATTTACAGGAACGTCACTTCAGAACGTGAAAATCTGAGGATTTACCATAGTACAGTATATTTGTGTTTATGATCTCAATGACAGTTCTGATGTAGTTATCTTCTTTTACATATCCAGTTTTATTTCTCACATTTTTCACATTCTACATCTATGATAAAATAAGCAGGTTCTTTTTTTTTTTTTTTGGTTGGGGAGAAAGAAAAGGTAGGCTTAAGTTTTGAGAATATATTGGAAAGCCTAAAATTTTGTGTGCTGCCTTGATACCCTTGAGCTTCACAGGCTTCCAAATGCCTAACTGGGGGTTCTCCTGCTCCAGCTCAGATGGTGAAGAATCTGCCTGCAATGCAGGAGACCCAGATTCGACCCCTGAATCAGAAATATCCTCTGGAGAAGGAAATGGCAACCAACTCCAGCATTCTTGCCTGGGAAATCCCTTGGACAGAGGAGCCTGGTTGGCTACAGTCCATAGGATCACAAAGAGTCAGACACAACTCAGCGACTAAACAGCAAAGGACAACCCGCTCTCACTAGATAGGTCCTCTAGTCATCAGGAAAGTCTCCCCTCTCAGCTAATTTCCCTGTGGGCTAAAACAGCTGAACCTTACCTGATCTTCAACCTAATGAATTTTACCTCTCTGTCAGAGTGCACAATTAATCAAACAAGCCAATTACATACTTCCACAGAAACAGGGTCACCTCATTCTCTTGTTACTACAAAACCTGCCTCCCACAGACCTTGCTCTATTCATTCTGCTCTCAAGTGCAACCTCCACGTGCTCCGGCATAGCATGCGGTGTCTTTCTATCCCAGGATGTGAATATATATGTGAGGATATATGTGTTTAAAAAGCTGCTGTTATTTGTCCAGTGTTGGACATCACGTGTTTGACCATTTTATACTGTTTAGGGTAGTCGGTCCCTCTCTCACTAACAAGGTAAATAGAATACAACCAGGAGAAAAGGGCCGATGAAAGGGTTTCCCCAACTATAACAGCAGTATAACTCACCTTGCTGATATAATTCTTTCCTTTTGGCTGAAAAGGAATAATAGTCTGTGAGATGCCAGACATACAGCATACAGTAAGGACTCTATCTCCTATTTTAGAGCAATGAAAATGGAAAACTTACCAAGCTCTCTCTCAAGTGATTCTAAAAAGGAAAAAAAAAATGGGTTTAACAGAAAATATTTTCTAGACTATGTTACTTAGCCCAGATTCTAAATGCTACTTCCATATATCTAGAACAAAAAATAATCCTTTGAGAATTATTATTATGACCATTAAAAAAATAAGCTCTATGCCTATACCAGTGATATTTCCCTCTCCAGTGGACTCAATTATAATATTTTTTTCCTCAGGAAGTTGTTGAGCTCTATGTTTTGTTGGAGGTCTTGGGGCTTTAACTCATTCTTACACATATCTCTGCATTCCCCAAAAATGCCATCCACATGCGCAGCCATGTTAACAAATCCATAAAGTCACATATCCCCACCAAGTCTGATGCCCAGTTTTACCTTTAACTTTACTTTCTTTCTCCTTTTCTCCCTTGACTTTTGATAGTTTCTTCTTTCCCCGTCGTTCCTTCAAGGTCAAATACACAATAGCACCAACCGAAATCCCAAGTATCACCAAAGTCACAGCAAATGCTGCCTTCCAAGGAGAGGGCCTAGGGAAGAAGGATTCTGACACAGGATCCCCAAAACCTGATTAAAAACATATGCCAAGCAAGCCTATCCCATCCCATGTGCTAAATATTCCTTCCTTGCATGTGTGAGTGTGTTTAGGCACTCAGTCATTTCTGACTCTTTGCAACCCTATGGTATGGAGCCCGCAGGCTCCTCTGTCCATGGGATTTCTCAGGTAAGAATACTAGAGTGGGTGGCCATTTCCTCCCTCCAGGGAATCTTCCCGATCCAGGGATCAAACCCACATCTCCTGTGCTTCCTGATTTGCAGGTGATTTTTTACCCACTGAGCCATCAGGGAAGGCCGTATCCCTTCCTTACTCCTCTCCTACCTCCCAAATGAGCAGCACGGACCTGGGATAAAAATGGTTTCCACTTGCTCTTGTCCAAAGAAGGGGTTCTTCATGGAACAGGACACTTGTGTCTTTGAGCTGTCTCTCACAATGAGGGATGCCTCAATCTGAAACAAGCCATCATCATCTTGTATCTCGTCCTCAGAGACAGATGGGATCTTCTCTCCCTTCGCGTCTTCCCATTGTACTTCAGGCTGGGGAAACCATCCCTTGCCTGTGCACTTCAACCTTATTCCTCCATCTTCTGGACCCACCAAGAAAACACGAGGATCAGAACCTAGACCTGGAGAGGAAAGTCATTCATCTGAGACTTGGAGAGTTTTTGTCCAGAAGTTCCTCATATTTCACAGCTACACCAGTGGAGAAAGTTGGACAAAGCACCATAGTTCTCAGGGGACGGAAGGGGGTTCTTTTCTTTCCCCATGAGATCAATGGTTATCTGAAGTTCAAAAGGTAAAAGAGCATTGAAGCTGATTCTGGGACTTATACCAATGTCTGTCATATCTCCTCTACACAAGCATATCTGCAATTGGCCATAGAAGGATAATAGGGAAGGAACAGAGTAAAATCTGTCGATGTTAAATTCTTTCAGAAAAAAATTACTGTATCTATATCACATGTCTATTTCATCTGCTGCTTAAGTTGAGATTTTTCATAGTCACTTCCTTAAATAATTTCCTTTTCCAAGTTTTCTTTCTTGCTCTGAGTAAAGCTTACCTAAAAGATGAATGTGTAACATGGTAAAGTGAGTCCATGAAAGAGTCAAGACATTTTAACTTTTCCATTCTCACTCCTTTCTTTTCCTTCCACTCCTCCTCCTCTTCTTCAATTTTGCACGGGCTGGGTCTACTAGTAGATTCACATAACTAAGACCCGTGTTAAAATATAACACTACCAGAATACTAGATGAATCCACCACATCTTTGAGAATGATAACTGTTCTGACTTCTAAGACTATATATTATTTGTCTTTATAAAACTTGATATCACAAAATATGGCTCCACCATGTCTGGCTCATTCCTATTCAACAAACTTCTTCTAAAAGATTGGACTTGTCTTCATACCCAGAAGTCAAGAAACTAACATAGCAAAGGTACTGAAAAATGCTGTCACTTACATGAGGTTATTTCTGTAACTCTGAAAGCTTTGACCTCTTCCTGGGAGGATATTAAAGTGAGATCACAGTAACATGGCTTAGGAGAGTTTGTCACTCTTTCCTTCAAGACCTAGTGGATTAGACTTTTCCACTAAAGTTATACACAAAGAAGAAGATAAAATGAGTGTATAGATATTTTGACAAATAGTATCAAATGAGAGTATTAATTTAAGGTAAACCTAACATATTCAAAGAATGAGAAAAACTTTACAACTAGAAAAACAATATTTTTGTCTTGGCAGAGAGTATAAAGTTTTAGAAATGGAAATACCAAAGAAATAGACAGATAAATCATTATAACCAGATAGAAAATTTAGACTTACGCTAGTTATCTGTAGGAAGTTTATGGGAAGCAATGTACTGTACAGAGCAATTGGTATGGAGATAAGTGAATAGATACATTACAAAAAAGTATTTTGAACCTATCATGAAATTTTATACCAAAAATATGTTTCTACATATGTGAGATCTAAATGTAAAAAACAAAACAAACAAACAAAAAAGAGAGAAATGAACTACTACAACTACATTCAATGAACTATATAGGAAAATCTCAAACATAATGGTGAACAAAAACCAAAAGAACCACACAACAAAGCAGACATAAAAGAGTCCATGTATATGAAATTAAAAAACAAGCACAACTAAGCAGCATCTCAATCTACTCTGTCAAACCCTCATTTCCTCCAAACAGTGCATTCGGGACTGGACCACTAACACTTCCAGTTAAGCCTCTGTCCCTCACGGTAGCGAACTGGGATTCTCATGTCTGGGCGTAATGGTACATTTTGCTAATTATGATGCTTTACCTCAAAATATGTGAGGAGAGACATAGAAGGAAATAAATGATCTATTTTTATGATAGATATTTATGGAAATAATTTGTTTTTAAAGTACATCAAAATAAATGCATAAATAGGATAAATAGAGGATTTGAGGTTAAATTCAGTGCCTAGGATGTTAACACCTCCAAGGATACTTACTTGTTGCCTCTTGTTCACCATCCTCCTCCCCAAATCAAATGTAGAACACTTACATTTCCCTTACAGTGATCTGTATTTTCCGATAATTACTCACCTATCACCTTTAGCTCCAAAACGGCTTCTTCGAAATCAGTTCCTTTTTTAAAAAAGCACTTGTACATTCCATTGTCTGAGACCCGGAGGCTGTGGATTCTCACAGCTACTCTCCCCTCAGTGATGTAGTCTTTCACCAACTCGACTCTCCCTTTGAAATCTACTAGTTGTTCTCCCACCTGCTCCATTCCATTCTGATACACAAACACAGCCTCTGAGAACTGGTTGCGAAACCACCGGATCTCCATGCTCTCCACATTCATGGCTGGGTATACACGGCAGGGCAGCACCGTGTCTGCACCCAGCATGGCCACGATGGGTTCCGAGGGGCCAGTCACTGAAAAGGAGTCTGTGGAATGGAGTCACAAGTGAAAAGAATATTGCAATACCCTGCCTGTGCCTTTTAGAATACAGCATTATCACAGGTCCCGGAGACCCATGGGCATTCTCTCTCTCATTAACACAGCAGTAATTTGTCACACATATTCAGGCTGAAGATGGCAGTGAACAAGACAAGGGAGCTCACAGTCAGCACAGTGATTTCATGTTAAACAGATGATTTTTAAATTGCAATGGTAGTAAATTCATTGGAGGAAGATGAAGGAGTGCTGGAAAATCATGAAGCAGATTTTGGGCAGATCTTGGGCATCAGCAATGCATTCCTCCAGAAATTGAGATCCAAATGAATTAGAAGACAACAGAAAAGAAATTCTACCTGGTCCTTACCTCTAAAATAATAGTGATTTATCTGCCCTGTGTATAGGCAAATGCAATATTGTATCAAAGTAAAAGATTTGCAATTAACCTAGGTCTATAGGAGACACGGCAGAGTGGTTTAATGATTCTACTCAGAGGGTAAGAGAATCCAGGTATAGAAAATATAAACTATTCTTACCTGAGCCCCACATGGACATCTGGAAAAGCAGGATCAGAAAGAGGTCTCTTAGCAGAGAGAAGTCTGGGGAACACACCATCTTCTCCAGAGTAGAGAACAGTATGACACTGAGGGGGTCCTGAAAATAGCTGGAGTAAAGATAAAAATGGGACCCACAAGGTAAAAAAGATTATAGCTACATAGTTCACAGGACTTCTAAGAAATGGTCTCCTGAAACCCTAGTGTCTTTCTCAGGGACCATCAGGGAAGCCTTTGACGTTCACAAAAGAGGGCCTTTTGTTTCCCCTTTTCCCAGAAAACAGTCTTGATTTCAACAGCCATGCTCTGACGTGATAAATCTGACCACAGTCTCTCTAAACCCCTCTGAAGAAGAACACTTTATCCAAGGGATGGAAAGGCAGAGAAAAGGCAGTGAGCAGCCACTGAGAGAGATGGCTTGGGCATAAACCTTGCTCTGGCCTCAACAGATTTTCTCACCATACATTCGTATACGAGGAAGGAGCAGATACAACTTGGCTTGTCCTCTGTCTACCCCCAGAGTCTTTGACCAGATTCTCTCACTTCCGTCCCTCTTGTCCATCATCAAGAAAATGTACCACTCACACAGACTGTTCACATCTTCCAAGTTCTTCTTAGGGCAATGAAGGCATCCTGGAAGTTCTCACTGACGCTGCCACGAACCAGGAATACATACTCTTTGTCGTTCCTCCAGGTTCCCCTCTGCGGGCTGCCTACAGATGTCTCCCGTGATACTTGCTCTAAGATGCCAAGGGAAGAAAAGACGTTAGAAATCTTGGAGTCCTGAAGGAAGATTTAGGTTTTTTTTTAAAGGGTTTCAGAAAACTAGAAGAAAGATGGCCCCTGCTTGGGAAACTCTCAGAGTGCAATTCTCCTCTATCTTGCCAACGTATTCAAAACTGAAAGCCAAATAAGATAAGAAAAGAGAACTTTGACCTGGCATGAATAATAAATCCATCTAATAATTGCGCACTTCCAAGGAAAGGATCAAAATCCAGAGACTTCTTTTTCTCTGAGAGTGTATTTATCCAGGCTGCTGCTAAGTCGCTTCAGTCGTTTATCCAGGCTAATAAAATGTAAATATTAGAACTTGACTGGTTGAGTTAAAATCTTGGTAAGGTCACTTACAAGCTCATGGTTTTGATCAAGTTACATAAGCTCTCTGTGTGCCTCAGTTTTCTCATCTGAAAATGGGTTTAATAATAGTACCTACCCTAAGCTGTCATGAGGATTACATGAATTAGTATACATAAAGCACTTAGAAAAGTGTCAGTAACTTTTACTTTCTGCTGTGTGGCTGCATAACTGATTTGTGTTTTGAAGATCCTTCAAATCCTACAAGTTCTAGAATAATTGCCTTTCTTGCCTAGAATGACAGACATTCTGAGTTAGAGTCTGAAAAAATTTTAAAAATTCTAATTTACATTTTTGCTATTCTGGATCTAAGATTGAACATCTCTGTATGGATTGTAAGAGACATAGTAACAAGATATAAACAAGTATAAACCAGACATGGGGCTTCCCTGATAGCTCAGCTGATAAAAAATCTGCCTGCAGTTCGGGGGACCTGGGTTTGATCCCTAGGTTGGGAAGATCCCCTGAGGAAGGGAAAGGTTACCCACTCTAGTATCCTGGCCTGGAAAATTCCATGGACTCTGTAGTCCATAGTTTTGCCAAGAGTCGGACACAACTGAGCAAATTTCACTTTCCGTTTCACAAACCAGACATAGTCTAACAAAGTTTTAAATATGGTAGTGTTAATTTTTAAATAAAAATAAAGTTCAGAGAGAAATCACTCAAAGAAACGAGATGATCCCTTCAAATACTGGCATTCATCATGAGCACATAACTTCCAAGAACCGCATGGTGCTAACAGCCTACAGCAGAATTAAAAAATGCAAAATCAGTTTGGAACTCAAAAAAGTTTATAACCACAATTAATCAGAAATGAACAGAACATTTCCAGAACATATAAATGAAGCTAGAGAGGTTTTAAATAATATAACAACTATGCCACATCAAATCTTTTACTTTATGACTTGGTGAGATTTAACAATTTCTCTCAGTTTTTGATTAATAGAAATCCACTTACAATATGACTAGTAGAACGACCCAGTATGACATTTACCTAACTCCTTCCTCCAGTGTGCTTAGAGTGCCAAGCCTCCCCCAGATCTGCCTATAAAGTTAATACCAAAATATCTGCTTCTTTCAAGTATTCTCTTTGAAACTTGGTTAAGTATCTAATCTCACTAGAGATTTGGATTTGCATTTTCTAAATAGGCAGGGGTTTGACATGAGTATGAATAATGCTATCATACTTTTGGAAAACGATTAAAATTTATGAAGTCACCACCGCAGGAAAACCATGCAGTCACCATGGAGGCAAATACTCTATTGGAAGAAGGTATCAGAAAAAGGAGATTAAGTCAGCCCATGATTCCTCCGTTTCTAGGTGACTAATGCCAGGACATGCATGCGTGCTCAGCCTTGAAGTCGTGTTTAACTTTTGTGACCCCCATGGACAGTAGCCCCCAAGCTCTTCTGTCCGTGGGATTTCCCAGGCAAGAATATCAGGGTTGCCATTCCTCCTCCAGGGGACTTTCCCCGCCCAGGGGTCAAATCCAAGTGTCCTGAGTTTCCTGCAACAGCAGGAGGATACTTTACCACTGAGCCACCTAGGAAGCCCATACTGCCAGAACACATCTACTAAATCACCTATCTTTCACTTTACTCCCGGTCACATAACAAAGAGTGGGAGTAAACAACTATGGGATGTAGCCCAGAAGTATTTGTACCTTTTCCCTGCTCCAAGCCCTTGTCTTCAACCTGCAACCTTCACTTTTCATATAAGAGAAGTTTTATGAGAAAAAAAAAAAGCTTCTGATTCCTTGCTTGTCCAGAATTTTCTTTTGCCCTTAATGCTAATTTTGTTGCTTAGAAAATTCTAGTTTCTACTCAGGAAAGTGATGAAACAAAATTTATATTTTAAAGCTGGACAAGGAAATTTAAGCACAAAATTCTCTCTGTCTCTCTGTCTGTCTGTTTGGGTCTCTTTCATCCCCCTGTAATATGTAATGTACTTCTGCATTGTACATTAACCAGACCTCCTCAAAGGTGAGAATGCTGGCTTGACTATAAATATAATTGTTTTTTTTCTTTCTTCTAATACTAGCAATGTAACTTCTTAAAAGAATAGCATTCTTTCCTGACTCTGTAAGGAATCATAGAGACTTGCTACTTGCTTTGCATGTGGTTACCTGGACTATCTCTGGTGAACTTTTCATGTAAGATGTCAGTATGTCATTTTGATGACAATCTTTTGTCTTAGAAATGTGTACAGTTGTACCTTCAACTTCTAACAGGTGGGAGAGTTCTCTGAGCTTCTGAATCTGTCTCCTGAATTATAATCCTCAGTTGACTAGAATGAAATTCTCCCTTTGTTTTCTTCACTTGATTGCTAATTGAAATTCTGTTGACAAAAATGAAGACTCCATTCAATTGTTTTCTAGTAATTACTATTGAATGACATGTGTGTATGATGGAATCTGATTTTTTTTTCTTTTGTACATAACAAATTTTTCTGCACCCTGGAACTTTGAGGTTTTGTGTTTTGTTCAGTTGTTTGTGACTCTAAAATGTTACAAGAATTCATGTATAAATGACTCTTCTGCAGTAGTCAGCTTTTTGTGAAGTACCCTTCCTTCTGATTCTTGCCCCTAATCTTTTCACTTTGGGAAACATTCTAGGTGAATGTTGAAGTTCTGGGTGGATTGGCTCAACCTATATTTCCTAATTTTTAAAATCTTTTTGATTTAAAGTACCACATAGTAACTGCTTTTTTCTAACCCAATATTTTGATCTTCAGCAGTGTCTACTCTGAGAGCTGACACCTCCATTTGTTTTCTACTTTAAGACAATTTTTCATTCCCAAGAATGCTGATTGTTTCTCTAATCCTTCCTTTCCTATGAATGAATCCTTCCTAATATGCTTTCATATTTGCATTAAGATTTTTATATACACACATTATTCTTTCGTTTTTTAAGTCAAAGAAATCTGAAAATTAGAGATAACCAAAGTTATAGACAGAAGCACCTTTATTTGCTCCACTCAGAAATACATATCCTATTATTATTTTGCTGTGATTTTTCTATTATTTGCAAACAACAAGATCATACTGTTCACATTGTTTTAAAAACTGCTCTTTAAAATTAATAACACCTTGTAGCTCTTTCCCTCTCTGCCCTTTTTCACCTTTCTCTCTCAAACACACAAATGCTGGTATGTAATTCAGTGTAATTCCCTCTAAATATTCTTCACAGATTAATTGGCTTTACTCAAACAATTCTCTATTATTGGGAAAAACGCCTAAGTATGTATGTGACTTTTTAAAATTTATTTTTTCTAACAATTGGAAATGTATATTAGTCTATCTACATTTTGTGATAGAATATATACACAAGTTGGAGAAGGCAATGACACCCCACTCCAGTACTCTTGCCTGGAAAATCCCATGGATGGAGGAGCCTGGTGGGCTGCAGTCCATGGGGTCCCTAAGAGTTGGACACGACTGAGCGACTTCACTTTCACTTTTCACTTTCATGCACTGGAGAAGGAAATGGCAATCCACTCCAGTGTTCTTGCCTGGAGAATCCCAGGGACAGCGGAGCTGGGTGGGCTGCCGTCTATGGGGTTGCAGAGAGTCGGAAATGACTGAAGCGACTTAGCAGCAGCAGCATATACACAAAGACGTATCATACATCTCAAAGTAAACAAAAGAGGCAAATAATGTTTTTAGATAGTTCCTTTTCTCCTTCAGTTTTCCCTTCCCATTCTTTAGTGTTTCAGACCTAAACAATAAGGTAGGTGTCAGACCCCAAAATAAGACAGGATAGTTTTATGGAGGAGCACGGCCCAGAGTGGTGTGAAAGAATTTGATTGAAGGAGATGGGCTTGTATGAGGAAGGGAGATAACCCCAAAGAAAATCGCAGAATATATGGTCCTATATTCAAACAGTGTAATATTATGTGGCAAGAAAAACTTTTAAATGCACTGATACACACAATGCGGTTGAACCTCAAAAAAGCATTTTGTTTAGCCAAAGAAATCAAGCACAAAAGTGTGTATACTATATGACTCCACTTTGGTGAAGTTTAAGAGTAGGCAAGATTAAGCTATCATGATTTATATCAGAATACTGATGTTTTTCGCCCCCTCCTTGGAAAGGACTGATGGACAATGGACGTGAGGAAAATTTCAAGAGACAAAAATGTTCCATAGTTCAATGAAGTGGTAGTTACATGAGTGTAAGCATTTGTGTGACCTCACTGAAATGCATGTTCTAAAGCCACGAATTCCATTGTATGCAAATTATATCTCAGTACATTTGATTTCTTAAAAATGTCAAATGTACCTCACTATCTGCAGAGAATATTTACTTAGGATTTCAGTATTCATTTGTCCAGACTTACATATTAATATTTATGCAATTGCTTCTTTTGTCTCTGATTATCTGTAAACCTTGTGTGACATGAAAAAAACATGAATTCAACTTGGAAAGAGTGTGAAATGGGAAGAAAACTCTGTGTGAGCATTTTGTATCTGGCACTCTATCACTGTGTTTTTACATCTATTCTATGTTGGGGGACCCTAAAGTTCTTTGGAAACAGAGCCCCAATATTCTCAGAACACAGAGTCTCCATTCCTGATGTCTTATTGTCCCCCATGCAGCTCTGCACACGGCTTCCAGTGTCAGCTATGGTGCAGTAGGAGGAAGTGTGCTGCTATAGGGTTTATCCTCTAAATCATCTAACTTTGTGAATCAAGCATTTGGATGACCAACTGACTTGGATATTACACAGGAAGATGATTCTGTCTCCCCAGCTAATGCGATTTCTGTCCTTTGCAGGTGCGAGCAGGGAGCCATACTGAACACTGTTGACCAAATCAGCTTTAGAGTTTCTATCATGCTATAGCTCAGTCCAGTTCAAAGTCCTCTGGGATGAACTATTACTTCCACTTTCAAAGTTAGTAGCAGTGCTGCAGGCAGGCTGAGACTTTCTCATTAAACGCATTTCTGAAGAGGCATTCAAATGCCCATTCTTCTTGGCAGCCTTATTTGTCCTCCTTACTGAGAATATTTTCCTAATTGAGGAAATTAGAAATTGAGATTAGAAACCTGCCATTTTCATCACCTGCAGCCACACCCTTGGATGCTGACCATGAGGACAACCAGGTGCAAATTGTGACTGGAGCCAGATCGTGTAGGTGCGCTAAGGAGACCAGGAGCTTGGTCCAGAAACCCCCCTTGGCTCAACCTGAATGGTGAGAAAAACACATGTGGGGACGTGCAGGTGTGTCTGTGGGACATGTGGGTCCTGAAAAAAAAAAGGGCTTGAGCTCTGGGCTCATGTGGGGAGAAAACTCCCTTCCCTTTCAGGAATTAAGCCACAAGAGTATTTGTGGGCAAAATAAATTAATATATGAATGAATGAATGAACAAGTGAATGGAGGGGAGAAATAGTTTGACTGAGGAAAGTGGATGAATTTTGTGTCTGACATCATTTCTCACCACTGAACTCAAGGTTTTCAATTTCAAGAGAGCCCTGGCAAGGTGGTGAATCCATAGATAGGCAAGCTAGCCCACAGGACACAAGAGAACGGTTTACCGTTTCCTACACCTGCTGGGGAAACGGTTTTGAGAAAAACAAAAGAGGGAGGGGAAAAAAAAAAAAACCCATATGGGAACGGTTGGGAGTTGGTGGTGTTTGTCTCAAGGTCTGTAAGCAAAAACAGCCAAAATCCTGTGTATAAAAGCAAGTTTTTGCACATGGGATTTTTTTTCTTTTTTCTGAGAACTTTCACTTGATTGGCTTCTTACCACCTTCTCAACATCCTCAGAGTGAATGTTTTGTGCTTCCAGCGTGCTCCATGTTCTGCTCTGAAGAAGATGGCAGGTTTTCCTGGCCTCTTTCCTGCTAGTGTTCTACCCGCTCTCCTTCTCTGGGTGTCCATGTGGGGCTCCCCAGGTCAGTGTTTTCTCTAATACCTTTCATTTGTTGGTTTGTTTTCAGTGGCTCTTTTTAAACAGTAGGTCCACCAGTTCCAATGCTGCACCCTCTCAAAGGCAGTTATACCTGGGAAGAATTATAGCTCTGTCTGCTGGCAACAGAAGGCTTGATGAGTCAGGTGAAGGGTGGGAGTGATCTCCTTCACATCAACATCCTTTGAGCAGACCTCATAAAAACCACAGCTATAATATTTATCTAAATTTTTATTGAGTGTGAGTGATCTTAGTGATCTGTTTAAATTTGATGTAACTCTTTCTTAAAATATACTTTGTAATGTTTATACTGCCAAGAAAATCCAAATTTGAAAACAAAGAATTTGGACTCAGGATCCCTGAGCTGGTTATGATCTGGGACAAGACGTTTATTCATTCTGGGACATGCATCCGTCTTTCATAAAGTAAAAGGGGCCCCTCAAGATGAAATTTTCAGACTCCAGGTTTGATGATAACCAGCCATGAGGTCTCAATAATGACATTTTCTGATACTGTCTCTTTAATTGGAGATCAAAAAATAACACAAATAGAAAAATACATTTGGGTCTCACATTAAAAAATGCAGGTGGGTCTACCATCTCATCTCCTCCCCTACCACTTCCCCCAATCTGTTTCTGATTTTCACGCAGCGTCCGGGTTTTCTGTGATGGGACCAGCTCAGCCCATCAAGGTCCCACTAGGGACAGATGCCACTCTGCCCTGCCAGTTGTACCCTGAGCAGAGTGCAGCCCATATGCAGATCCGGTGGTACCGAGCCCAGCTCTCCCCAGCAGTGCTCCTGTACCAGAATGGGCAGGAACAAGACGGGGAGCAAATGCTGGAGTACCGTGGTAGGACAGAGTTGGCGGAGGACTCCATCGGCAGAGGGGCTGTGGCCCTGCTGATCCAACATGTCCGTGCGTCTGATAATGGCCAGTATTGGTGTCATTTTAATGATGGTCACATCTCCCAGGAAGCCGTTGTGGAGCTGCACGTGATAGGTATGTTAACTTAGCACAAAGTGCATGTATCATGGTATAAAGCAAAGGGAAAGTTGAGAATGTATGGATCCCTAGCCTGGTGTTTCTCAGGATCTTCTACATGTCACCTTGCAGAATGTCAGCTTTCTAAACTGTACAATGAGGACAAAACCACATGCTTGGCTTTTAAACAGCAAAAGAGGCAATCTTTCTGTAGATATTTTGGTATCCAAAAAGATCTCAAAAATTTATTAACTTGTATTAATTCAGATAGATACTGGCACCTTCAAATAATTTTTTACCCAGTCAGAAGAGAAAGACAACTTGTAGTATTAAACTCACTTTTTCTTTGATTGTCACCATGCTTTTTCCTTCTTGGAATGACCCCAAAGCTCTCTCAGTCCTAGTACAGTGCAAAAGCATTAAGTTGATTTCAGAATCAACTTCATATTGATTTCAGAATCAGAGGTAAGCCTTATGCTGACTGTGAGCAGTTTTGAACTCTGAGTTTCAGTTTACTTATCAGCCTGCTGCTGCTGCTAAGTCACTTCAGTTGTGTCCGACTCTGTGCGACCCCACAGACGGCAGCCCACTAAGCTCCTCTGTCCCTGGGATTCTCCAGGCAAGAACCCTGGAGTGGGTTGCCATTTCCTTCTCCAGTGCATGAAAGTGAAAAGTGAAAGTGAAGTCGCTCAGTCTGTCCGACTCTTAGGGACTCCATGGACTGCAGCCCACCAGGCTCCCCCGTCCACGGGATTTTCCAGGCAAGAGCACTGGAGTGGGCTGCCATTGCCTTCTCCTACTTATCAGCCTAGTGAAGGGCAATTAGACCTTCAGCCTCAGGGACTCCTGAGCACCAAAGACTACAGGCCTCAGGGACATGTCTTTTCTCCTCAGGCTTGGGCTCTGCCCCTCACGTTCGCATGATGGGGCCTGAGGATAACGGGATCCAAGTTCTGTGCTCCTCAGGTGGCTGGTTCCCTAAACCCAGGGTGCAGTGGAGCGACATGGCAGGAGAGAAACTACTATCCCTCTCTGAATCTCAGAGTCAAGATGGAGATGGGCTGTTCCATGTGGAGGCATCTCTTGTGGTCAAGGACAGCTCTTTGGGCAATGTGACCTGCTCTATCCAGAACCCCGTCTCTGGCCAGGAGAAAGCGTCTGCCATCTTCCTTCCAGGTCAGTCAGGCACAAACCCCAAGGCAGAGCCGGGTGTGTTCCAGGCAGGGAGGAGTGAAGTAGGGCGGAAGGGAGCCTGGGAGAGAGGGCGGGGCTTCCTCCAGGTCGGTCTCTCACTGTGTCTCAACATGCCTGTGTCAGAGCCCTTCTTCCCCAGAACGTCTCCATGGAAGACAGCCCTGGCTGGGACACTCCCGGTGCTGGTGCTTCTCCTCATCGGGATCAGCTACACTGGCTGGAGACAACATAAAGCCAAAAACAGAGAAGTAAAGGAAAGGGAGAAAGCATCTCAGGAAAGAGACAAGATGGCGAAAGAAAAGGAAGAGGCACAGTCAGACAAAAGTAAATCGGGCAGCAAGTCAAATCAGAGGTTCCTGGAAAAGCTGCAGATACTGTGTGTGCAGGGTTGTTGAAGAATCCTGAGGAAAATACAGGGTGCCAAGAATTCCACAGAACTGGGAGTCCTATGCAAAGGAGAAAACCACATGGGAAGTTAGATCTGTGGGCAGTGGTATTAAGCCTCCAATCCACACCATGCCCTTTCAAGCCTCTGTACCCCAACCTGTTTCTCTTTGCAGAAATATCTTCCTTTATCTTCTCTTCCTTTTTTATCCTTCAAGAATAAACTCCAGAAACACCTAAGAAATCAAACTCCCAGGAAGCATGGACTTCCCTTCCTGTGTGACCCCAGGATTCTTCCCACATAACCTTTCTTAGAGCTTGCCCTTGTACATTTGACAAAGATATTCGTTAATCTTCTCACCTGCTTCACTATGGGATCCCTAAGAGAAGGTCAAATTGAGTTCATTTAGCTACTCACTGGGCTCAGGAGCAACTAAAACTCAATTTGATGGATTTTTTATATCTTTCTCTTTCAGGGGAGCTTGAGGAAGAGCTCGGTGAGTCTTACTTCTTCTCATGCCCTGTGTAGAATTTGTACCCCTTTCCACACCTGTTCTGGGTCTCTCATTGAATGTTGTTTCTTTCAGAACAACGAAAGGCATTATACAATAAAGGTAAGCAACTCAGTCATGTCCACTGATGTCCTGATGTCCAACAAGTTCTCAATTCCCTATTCTCAGAGAAAAGACTAAAGGATTCATGATGATTAGTGGAAGAGAAATTATGGAAAGGAAGAGAAATTTGAGGTTGCAGATTAATGTCTCATCTTGTCTTTCCTGTATTTGTTCTGTTTTAGACTGGAAGAAGGCCTTGATATATCCTGGTACGTAAACCTCTGGCCCTTGTCTTGTCAAATGCCTCTGGTATTCTGAGCATAATAAGCAGAGTCATAAATATAAACACACGTACACACACTTGAAAGTTGTGAAATTTTTATTTGGTATCACTCTGTAGTATTTTGTATTTGGAGACTCAAATAACCTATTGTCTTCCAGAGCTGATAATGAAGGAGAAATAACTGCTGACTAGTCAATTCCACTACATGACTAGGGTAGGACACAACATGAATGTGACTTGTTAGCCCTTCCACTATGGAGAAGGGAAAGATGGAACTCAGAGTGACTTTGAGGAGATTTGGGAAGAATAAAGAATATATTATGTCAGCATTTTTACTCTGCAAATAAATTTTAAAAGATCAGAAAATATATTTTATATTCAGAAAAGTATATTAACTATGATTTTACTTATTTTACCTATTTGAAATAAAGAAAGTAAAATTCAATATAGAGGGAGAAGGTTTATGTATGAAAAAGTTGGAAAACAGTTTTTCAAAATATTTTAATATCTTCTGCATAAATATGTTTATCTGGAGGTAGGGGGAATTGGCTAGTTTTATACCTTCTGAAATCTGTGTCTACGTATTCCGTAGGTTTATAACTCATGTGTTTCTGTTTGTGTGTGTGTGGAATATGGTGTTGGATCTCAAAAACACACTAGGTCATTCCTTGAATATATATCTATGCAAGTTTTGTATGCCAGGCATGCTAGATGTTGGTGGCACAAGTTATTATCTCTGACCTTGTAGAACTTGAAGTCCACTGGGGGAAGGAAATTAGGAACCAGGCAACTACACACAACCTGATGAGTGCTCTGATAAGAGAAGGTCAGAGGAACTCCTCCCAAGGATTAAAGCTGATTAAGCAGTTCTGTTAAGAGTTTTCTTTTATGAGATACTGAATAATGTTCCTCTGTTTCTAAAGGAGTGAGCAAAGTACTAAGGACAACTTTTGACATTTTTAATTCCAAATCTGTCAATTACAACTGGGAAGTAGGGTTATTTTTATTTCTTGAATTCAGTGTCTTTATCTCTTTAGATGAAGAGACTGGAATACATGATCTCTGATATCCTCCTTGACTCATATATTTATAGATTCCAGGCATCCGAGTGCTCCATTTCTGACAGGAGGGCAGCTTAGTGAGGGACCACAGAGCTGTTCCAGCCAAGAATTATGGATGGGTCCTTATCTGCCTATTGTCTCAAGACTCAATGAGAATACCGTCTTCAAATAAAATCACAAGGCCTGTTATAAGAGAAGTGGCCACAGGCAGAAGCAGATGCAATTCTTTTTCCCACTAGGAATCTGTCTCTGGAGAAAAATATAAGCTATCCGATTACAATCTGGGTCAAAGTAATAAGGGCTCATTTAAATGCTTTGGTCATAAACTTAAACTCTAAGAAGATCATAGGCCAGAAAAGCTGTAAATAGATAGAGGGGTTTAGAGGAGGAATAGAATAGAATTAAATTAAAAATATATTTTATAGTTCTCATCATCAATGAGGAGGCCCACAGAGGTCTGGAGAGCACAGTAGAGTGGCATGTAGGGTATCAGGCCCTACCCCTGGGGTCTCCAAACCTGGCTTAGGCTGGGGAACAGCCCCAGCTTCAGGCTGAATTATGTGATAGTTTCTAATCTGAGAGCACAGAAAGCATACTACTTGTCCTGTAGTTTCTGGACACTACCAGAGTTTGAGGAGTTTAGAGGAGGAAGGGAATGTCACCACGAGAAGGTGATGGGTCAGGAAAATCATCGTATCTCCTTTTCATCCCCTGGGTATACTTCTGCCTGGTTTCAATTCATGTTGCTCTGTTTCAGACTGGAGGAAGGAACAGTTTGAACATGGTAAGTGGTTCTTTATTTATCTTTTTGACCCCCTTCTAACCTGCCCTCTGAGATCCCCTCTGTGACCCTGCTTATCCTTCCTAACATCTTCTCCTAGTTGAAAAGACAGGCACTACTCTTCTCGTAATGAGAAGGAGGACATGAGAAGCATTCAGTGTTAGCCTGAACTGACAACTGCTGCTAGGATTAGCTACTCTGGTTGTGCTTCCCCTTTCAAATACTGACAAAGCTTCCCTGTCTGTGGGGTCCACTTGGTTCTGAAACAGAAATTAACATAGCCCCCCAGCTGAGGAGACCCCACACTAAGTAAAAAGGGCTCAACATAGCAGTTCAGCTCTTCTTTGTAGAGAGGTCAGATCACATGGAGCCTGTGACTAACTGAGGAAAATAGGACTAATTTGCAGAGAACATGACAGGGACACCATTCTTCAGTAAACATTCAAAGATCACTGCACACTCTGGCACTCTGTCAAAACACTGACCATGGCAAAGATAAGACAAGTAGCATAGAATGGCTAGCAAGAACAAGTAGCAAGAGAACACATCAAACCCCCCTCCCACCCAGCTCCACCTCCCCCAACACACACACCTTCAGAGGAGAGGTGTTCTTTTCACCACTCCTTACACCTTTGCTCTGTTTTGTTAAAGGTTCCTCTGTACAACAGTTTTCTGAAATGTGCCATCTTGGCTTTATCCTTTCCTTTTTATTTCTTCCAGTTCTTGTGAGTGTCAATCATGAAAATGTTCATCAGAACAATTCTGACTTCACAAAGGAACCTCAGGCAGTATTATGTAATAAGCAAGGAGGTGGCAATCTTCTCAAACTTGATCAGAAAGGATTCACTAAAGGGAGACATTACTGGGAGGTGGACCTTGAGGACACTGATGAATGGACTCTAGGCATTTATGACGAGCCCACAGAGAAGAGTGATCTAGAGAAGATGAAGTTCAACGTCTTAGAGAAGAAGGGACATGAATACAGGGCTCTCACTTGTTCTCACCAAGGCATTTCCGAAGAGTCTCTCCTGATTGAAAAGTGTCCACAAAAGATTGTGATATTCTTGGATTATGAGGATAGTAACATTTCTTTCTATAACATGGTTGATGGAACCCACATCTTCTCCTTCAACCAGGCCAACATCTCTGGGTCAGTCTATCCTTACTTCAAACTGAAATCCATGGAGTTCTCCCCATATGCATGATATTAAGTGACTTAGAATAAAAACCTATAAATTGTGAAGATAGTAGCCCATTTTTTGTAAACCCAAGGATTCCAGTCCTGACGGGTGTCCTCAGGACCACCGATTATGAGGCCTCTTGACTTAAGTCTCCATGAATCTGCATGACCAAAGTTTCCAGCCACGTCAAGCAGTGTTTCTCAAAAATCTTTTTCCCATCTTGTGGTTTGTTGTAAATGTTTCTTGCATTATGTATTATATACCACAGACATACTTTTCTGAGTAAACTACTGGAAATGATGAAGTGAGTACAAAGACATATGAGTGGTAATTTTATTATTAAATATCATATACCTAACATTTTCTATCAATTCATTATAAATTTTGTAATACTTTATTTCTATATTTGTTTCATGAAGAATTAGTAAGAAACAGTTTACAAATATGCACTGATTTATGGATCACAATTTTGGGGCTTCCCAGGTGGCACTAATGGTAAAAAAACCCACCTGGAATGCAGGAGACTCAGGAGACAGGTTTGACCCCTAAGTCAGGAAGATCCCTGGAGGAGGGCATGGCAGCCCTCTCCAGTATTCTTACCCGGAGAATCCCATGGACAGAGGAGTCTGACAGGGTACCATCTATGGGGTCACAAAGAGCTGGACATGACTGAAGTGACTTAGCATACATGAACACATGGATCACACTTTAGTAGCATTGCTCAAACAAAAATTAGATGCACAACAACACTGAATAAAAATGACAGAAGAGTTTTATTTTCAAATGTTGAAGGAGAAAAGTTAAACTATAATTTGATGAGAAGCTAAACTATATCTTAAATGCAAGGATAATTTGATAAAGAAAAAATAAATATCAATCACAATCCAGTTCTAACAAATGTCATGATGTCAAGATGATGGAGGTCTGGGGAAACCAGAATCAAATGGGAGCACATTGAAGTATAAACAGTGAAGGGAAAGTAAACATCCCCAGGCAAAAGAATGAAGCTGGCCTCTATCACACATCATATGTGGAACACTAACTCAAAATGGATTAAAGATCTAAATGTAAGCATAGGTGTAAATCTTGGTTTAGGCTTCTTAGTTATGACACCAAAAGCACAACCAAACAAATAAAACCATAAATTTGACTTTGTTAAAAGTTTTGTGCACCAAAAGACACCATCAAAAAGTGAAGAGGCAACTCATAGAAAGAAAGAAAATATTTACAAATTATTCATCAGAGTTTAGTGTAAAGAATATATAAAGAATTCTTAATACTAAATAATAAAAAGAAAAGCAATTCAAGTTTTTAAATGAACAAATGATTTGAAAAGACATTTATCTGAAGAAGATGTGCAAATGGTCAATAAACACCTGAAAAAATATGTGCAACACAATTAGTTATTTGGGAAATGTAAACCACAATGTGGGCTTCTCTGGTGGCTCAGCTGGTAAGGAATTCGCCTACAATGCAGGAGACCTGGGCTGAATCCCTGGGTTGGGAAGGTCCCCTGGAGAAGGGAAGAGCTACCCACTCCAGCATTCTGGCCTGGAGAACTCCATGGACTATAGAATCCATGGGGTTGCAAAGAGTCAGACACAACCGAGTGACTTTTGCTTCTCACTTTCTTCAAAACCACAATTTAATATCACATCATCCCCTCTAAGACAAGATATTCTATGTCCTCCCTACATTCCCTCCTCACCAAGTGGAAAATAACAAGTGTTGGAAAGAATGTGGAGAAGTGTAAAAGGATGCAGCCACTGTGGAAAATAGTTTAGAAGTTTCTCAGTAAGTTAAATGTAGAATCACCATTGTTGTTGTTCAGTCACCCAGTCCTGTTGGACTCTGTGATTCCATGGACTACAGCAGGCCAGGCCTCCCGGTCCTTCACCATCTCCTGGAGTTTGCCCAAGTTCATATTCATTGCATCAGTGATGCTGTCCAGCCATCTCATCTTTTGATGCCCTCTTCTCCTTCTCTCTCAATTTTTCCCAGCACCAGGGACTTTTCCAATGAGTCATCTTTTCCCATCAGATTACCAAAATACTGAAGCTTCAGCTTCAGCATCAGTCCTTACAGTGAATATTCAGGGTTGATCTCCTTTAAGATTGACTGGTTTGATCTCCTTGCTATCCAAGGGACTTTCAGGAGTCTTCTCCAGCACCACAGTTCAATTCTTTGGCATTCTGCCTTCTTTATGGCCCAGCTCTCACAACCATACATGACCACTGGGAAGACCATAGCCTTGACTATACAGACCTTTGTCAGCAGAGTAATGTCTCTGCTTTTCAATACGCTTTCTAGGTTCATCGTCGCTTTCCTGCCAAGAAGCAATCGTCTTCTGATTTCATGACTGCAGTCACCATTCATAGTGATTTTGGAGCCCAAGAAGAGGAAATCTGTCACTACTTCCACTTTTCCCCCTTCCATTTACCATGCCGTAATGGGGCTAGATGCCAGTCATGTCTGACTCTTTGCGACCCCATGGACACCAGGCTCCTCTGTCTGTGGGATTTTCTAGGCAAGAGTACTGGAGTGGGTTGCCATTTCCTTCTCCTGGGAATCTTCCTGACCTAGGGATTGAACCCAGGTCTTCTGCATTGTAGACAGACGCTTTACCATCTGAGCCACCAGGGAAGTCCTCCTAGCTTCCCTCCTAGCTCAGTCGGAAAAGAATCTTCCTGCAATGCAGGAAACATGGGTTTGATTCCTGGATCAGGAAGATCCCCTGGAGAAGGAAATGGCAACCCACTCCAGTATTCTTGCCTGGAGAATCCCATGGACAGAGAAACCTTGCAGGCTACAGTCCATGGGGTCACAAGAGTTGGACACGACTGAGTGACTTTCACTACTACTTCACAATGGGGCTAGATGCCATGATCTTAGTTTTTTTAATATTTAATCTTAAGCCAGCTCTTTCACTTTCCTCCTTCACCCTCATCAAGAGGCTCTTTAGTTCCTCTTCAGTTTCTGCCATTAGAGTGATGTCATCTGCATATCTGAGGTTGTTGATGTTTCTCCCATCTATCTTGATTCTGGCTTGTAACTCATCCAACCCGGCATTTCTCATAATGTGCTCAGAAGATTGGTTTAACAAGCAAGGTGACAGCTGAAGGCCCTGTCGTACTCATTTCTTGATCTTGAACCAATCAGTTGTTCCATACAGGGTTATAACAATTGCTTCTTGACCTGCATACAGGGTTCTCAGGAGACAAGTAAGATGGTCTGGTATTCCCATCTCTTTAAGAGCTTTCCACAGTTTGTAATGATCCACACAGTCAAAGGTTTAGCATAGTCGATGAAACAGAGATAGATGTTTTTCTGAAATTCCCTTGCTTTCTCCATAATAAGGTGAATGTTGGCAGTTTGATCTCTAGTTCCTCTTCCTTTCCTGAAACCACCTTGGACATCTGGAAGTTCTTGGTTCCCTTAATGCTGAAGCCTAGCATGCAAGATTTTAAGCATGACCTTACTAGCATGTGAGATGAGTGCAATAGTCTGGTGTTTAGTACATTCTTTGGTAGTACCCTTCTTGGGAATTGGGATGAGGATTGATCTTTTTCAGTACTGTGGCCACTGCTGGATCTTCCAGATTTGCTGGCATAATAAATGCAGAACCTTGACGGCACCCTCCTTTAGGGATGTGAATAATTCTGCTGGAATTTCATCGCATCCACTAGCTTTATTAGCAGCAGTGCTGCTTAAAACCTACTGGACTTCACACGTCTGGCTCTGGGTGACTAACTACACCATCATAGTAATGCAGATCATTAAGATCTTTTTAAATACAGTTCTTCCTTATAATCTTTCCATCTCTTCTTGATCTCTTCAGCATCTAGTAGGACTTTACCATTTTTATCCTTTATTGTGCCCATCTTTGGGTAGAATGCTCCCTTGATGTTTCCAGTTTTCCTGAAGAGATCTCTAGTCTTTCCCTTTTTGTTGTTTTCTTCTCTCATTAAGCACTGTTCATTGAAGAAGGACTTATTGTCTCTCCTAGCTATTCTTTGAAACTGTTTAATTGGTTGTACCTTTCCCTCTCTTCCTTGCTTTTCACTTCTTTTCCTTCTTCTGCTTTTTGTAAAGCTTCCTCAGATAATCACTTTGGCTTCTTGTTTCTCTTTTTTTGGGGGGATGATTTTGTTCACTGCCTTCTGTACAGTGTTACAGACCTCTGTCCATAGTTCTCCTGGCACATTGTTAACTAGCTCTAGTTCCTTGAATCTGTTCATTACCTCTACTGCAAATTCATATGGAATTTAAGTCATACCTGGCTGGCATAGTGTTTTTCCCAGTTTTCTTTAGTTTAAGCCTGAATTTTGCTATGCAAAGCTGATGATCTGAGCCACAGTCAGTTCCAGGTCTTGTTTTTACTGACTGTATACTGCTTCTCCCTCTTTGGCTACAAAGAATGTAATCAATTTGATTTTGGTATTGACCATTTGGTAATGTCCATGTGTAAAGTTATCTCTCGTGTTGTTGAAAAAGGGTATTTGCTATGACTTGTGCATTCTCTTGGCAGAATTCAATTAGTCTTTGCCCTGCTTCGTTTTGTTCTCCAAGGCCAAATTTGTCTGATACTCTCAGTATATCTTGACTTCCTACTTTTGCATTCTAATCTCTGATGATGAATAGAACATCTTTTCTAGGTGTTAGTTCTAGGAGGTCTTCTAGGTCTACAGGGAACTGATCAGCTTCTTTGGCATCAGTGGTAGGGCCACCGACTTGGATGTCTGTGATGTTGAATGGTTTGCCTTGGAAAAAAACTGAGATCATTCTGTCATTTTTGAGGTGCACCCAGGTACTGCATTTCGGACTCTTTTGAGAGCTACTCCATTTCTTCTATGGGATTCTTACCACATTAGTAGATACAATGGTCATCTGAATTAAATTTGCCCATTCTTGTCCACTTTAGTTTGCTGATTCCTAGGATGTTGATGTTTATTCTTACCATCTCCTACTTGATCATATCCAATTTTCCTTGATTTATGGACCTAACATTCCAGATCCTTATGACTGTATAATTCCACCCCAAGAGAAATTAAAGTATATATTCACACACAAAAAATGTATACACAAATGTTTGCAGCAGGATTTTTCATAATGGCCAAAAAAGTGAACACAACCCAAATGTCTATCACTGGTTGAATGGATAAACAAAATGTGGTAAAGCCACACAATGGCATATTTTTCCACCACAAAAGGAATATGGACCCATGTAAGGATTAGCAAGATACAAAGAAGGCTCCATAGCAGAATCTAGGTTTACACTAGTAGGCAGAGTTCAGAAGTTCACTGAATTTGAGAAG